CTAGTCAGCATTTTACTGCCCCTGCTTTCCATAGGACCGTGTGCAGGCAGATGCGATTAGTATAGAATGGCATCATGGTTAGCACCGTTATGTTGGGCCAAACGGCCTGTTCCAGTGTTGTGTTGTCCTATGTTCCAGATGTGGAGAGAGTGGTATTGGAACTGATGCCTTGAAGTGAATTCCATTTCACTTCTGCACTCTGTGTGGGAATGCCAGAGAGAGCACATTCAATCAAGTCAAAGAATGATTGTTTTATTTGGGTAGGCTAGATCGCCAACATTGATATAAGAACATCCTTGTTGATTTGAATGTGAAAACTCCAAGCATTACATCCTAACCCTGGTGCACACCAGGAAGTGGCCTGAACAATCTGCGTGTGTTTAAGATCCTGTTCAAAGTCATGCTTCCTGATGGTTAGATCTAGGTGGAGCCAATGTCTTGATCAAGGATACCTCATGGTATGATATTTTTAAAAATTATAAATTAATTAAAAATTATAAATAATTATAATATTTTGAAAAAGATACCTTGTGGCATGAGGATTCTTGTGGTACAGTGGTAGTGTCCCTGCCTCTGGCAAGGAGACTGGTGTTCAAATCCCACCTGCTACAGAAATGTATAATATCATTTCTGAACAGGTTGATAAGAGAAAAAATATCTACTTTGTGGCATAGTTCATTCTGAAACAAAATGTTAGTTACAGAAAGATCATGACGGCAGAACAGCTCAACTAGCATCTGTTCTCATTTATTTTTCTGAGGGCATGATGTGCAGGATGGACGGTCCATGCCTTTTTGTCCATACATCCTCCTTCCCTGAAATTCTATTGTTGTGGATGGAATCAAGTTCCTTGTAGAACCACTGTTTCACCTCTAGAAACATAACATTGGAGCATAGATACTCAAAAGGGCCCACAGTACTCATTAAGAGCCAAATAGTCATTTGATAAAGGTTAATTAAGCTAAGGAACATATGAGAGGCAAGTAGAGAGATCACATTGTGAACCATTTGTGGGATGGTTCTATCATTGAGAGTAGCAAGTGAAGCCTACCACCTTGATCATATGTTTCCTCTGAATTTTTCCTCTGTCAGATGATTGTGTCATGATTTTCTTTCGGTGACCTCAGTGAGCCTTGTAGGAAAGCAAAATCAATGTTTAACATGTCAATTTCCACATCAAACCTAGTTCTCTTGGGTGCGTTATTAATCAACCAAAAATCATATGTGCATCCCATGCATATGGTCCCGATGTTTCAGCTTGCCAGAGGCTGGTCAACTTGAGTTCGGTGGTGGCTGACTAGTAGGACATGACAGATCCTGCCACAGACACAGGCAGCCCTGGCACCTGTTCCCCATGCCAATTGTTGGGTTTGTTGCTGGTAACTGCTATGACTAGGGCTGTCCACATGTTGGGACCTCGATGTGACCCCCTTGTTATATCCAAACGAATGTAAAGCACTTTGTTTGACGCTGGCTTAGTTGCAGGAGCTTCTTAAAATCATCATTTCATGCCATCACTGGTAAGGTCAGCATTTACTGACCTTCCTTAGTTGGCCTTGAGAAGGTGGTGATGAGCTGCCTTCTTGATCTATTGCAGTCTTTGGGATGCAGGCACAGCTATTAGAGAAGGATTACCAGAATTTGTTCAAACAACAATGGAAGAGCAGTAATGTCGTCAGGATGGTGTGTAGCTTTGAGGGAACTGTCATGTCTTTCCATGCTTCCATTATCCTTTCTCTTCTAGATAATAGCGATGGTTGATTTTGAAGATACTGGTGAAAGAACATGAGTGAATCCTATATAAGATGCACAATTCTGCCATGTATCAGTGATAGAGACAGTGATTGTCTAAACTGGTGGATGCGTTGGCAATCAAGCACGCTGCTACGTACTAGATGGCATTGAGCTCCTTGAATGTTGTTGGAGCATACGATCTAGGCAAATGAAGATTATTTCATCTCAGTGCTGAATTGTGACTTTCAGATGGTGAACAGGAGGAGCTGAGTTACTCGTCTCAAAATTCCTATCCTTTGATCTGGCCTTGTAGCCACAGTATTTAAATACTTTGTCTAGTTCAGTTTCCAGTCAGTGGTAACTCCCAAGATATTGACAGGGGAGTATTCAGGGATGGTAATGTCATTGAATGTCGAAAGGAGATGCTTAAATTCTCCCTTTTGGAGTCCAAGCATGGATGTCACCCAGTCATGCTGCAGTTGGACTTGGGCTGCTTCAGTATTTGAGGAATTGCAAATGATGCTGAACATTATGCAATTATGAACATGCTCACTTCTGACCTTAGGATGGAGGGAAGGGCACTTGTAATGGCCTATGATACTGTCCCAAGGAATTCCTGCAGGGATGTCCTGGAAATGAGATGGTTGGTTGGCCTTAACAGCCATAATCATCTTCCTATGTGTCACATGTGACTCCAATCAGTGGAGAATTTTCCCTTTGATGCCCCTTGAGCTTGATTTTACCAGGTTTCCTTTATATTGGACTTGGTTAAATTTGGTCTTGATGTCAAGGACAGTCAATCTCATTTCACCTCAGGATTCAGCTCTTTTTTTCCAGGATTGAACCAAGGCTATAATGAGATCAGGAGCTGAGTACCCAGTGCACCCAAACTGAACGTTAGTGGGAAGATTGTGCTGCATACGTCAGGAAGAATGATGTATTTAGACATCAGTTTGCCACTCCAGATTTTGAAATTGAGTTTATCTCTTTAATATACAACTCTTGTGAGATATAAAAGAAAAGTTGCTGGAAAAGCTCAGCAGGTCTGGCAGCATCTGTGAAGGAAAAAAACAGAGTTAACAC